TATATATATATATATATATATATATATATATATATATATATATATTAGCTATATACCTTAATATAAATGTATCATACATCTACAAAAGTAGTGTTGGGTGAATTCTATTTTTGTTCAGAAAAAAATTGAATACTCAGATCTGAAAACAATTTCAAATCAAGATAAGACTATTCGAAGTAAAAAAGTAAAAATTATTAAATTGTATCGCTCAGATTTTTAGAAAAACAGTTTTGAAAATGTAAACAAATCACGCTTTTAACAGTCAGATAAATGTAGCAGAGAATCACAGTTTTTTATATGTTTAAACATCTTTATATTGTTTTTATCATTTTTGAATCAACAATTTAATTATCTTTATTATTATTTCATTCTATCAAAAATATGCAAATAATAACTACTAAGTAAAACTTTAAAAATATTGTTGCTACTCAGAAAAAATTTTGGTATCTAAAGGCCGTCACCATCTTTAAAATTATAATATTTGAATTTGACACTGCGCTTGCGTATAATAACTTTCCACATCTAAACGACCGTGTTTAGTTTATAACTTTGATATTTTGAGAAAGTCTTTTTATTTAGGTAACTATGCAAAATGCCTGTTGACATGAAATATAGGTATCCATGGCAACCAAATTAACAATCTAATGGTGCCATTAGATTTGTTATATGAAATATACTCAAGCTGCTAATTATGGGAAAAACCTGATAAATATTTTAAAAGTTATTAATTTTGTCCAGCTAATAATGATTTTGGCCCACTGTGCAGCGGCTTCATTTTTCGTCCAATAAAATCCCGCCAGTTATATAATATATATCATTGGAAAAATGAAACTACCAAGAAAATAAGTACGAGTTTTGAATTTTTAAAATGGCTGCGTATCTTAACTACAGTGAAAATTTTATATAATAACTATTCATTTGTATGATATATATATATATATATATATATATATATATATATATATATATATATATATATATATATATATATATATATATATATATATATATATATATATATATATATATATATATATATATATATATATATGTATAGATAAATATTATAACAATAATTACATACTTTGAACTCGGACATATAAAGTTAGTAGGTGGTTATATTAATTTTTTTTCAATATAAAAAGTGTGTATATGTGTACATATATATATATATATATATATATATATATATATATATATATATATATATATATATATATATATATATATATATATATATATATATATATACCATGCTGGTCATAAAAATATAATATTTTTTATTTTATTAAAACATGATGCAAAACATAAAACATAAATGTAAATAAACACACAATGTATAAAATAAGCATAGTTAATTAATTTTCGAAGTTAATATTTGGTTATTCGCCTTTTTGCTGCTAGAACTGCTGATAGTTTGGTAGGCATTGAATGAACAAGGTGAGCACAATATTCTGCAGTGATCTCTGTGCACCACACTTTCTTTATAGTTTCTTTGAGGTCCATCAAGGAGGTTAGCAGTAAGCAGCGAGCTTTTTCTTCAGGGTAGCCCAGCAGTTTTCAATCGGATTGAGATCTGGAGAACTTTCAGGCCACGGGTCAATGCAGCTGATGCCTTGACCATTGATCCAAGTTTTGACAGTGCGTGCCGTATGGCACGGAGCTCCATCCTGTTAGAAGTGTGTGCAATTGTGCAACTCCATGAAGAATGGCACCTTTTCTTTTAAGATTGAGAAGTAGACATTTGCATTGATTGTATTTTCTTGTGGCAGGAACCAGAGCTCAAATGTTGGTTATATCATTCTACAATGGGACGGCGAACATAGCTGCTGAATGCGTAGAACTTTTTAATGAGGGATTTATCAGTGAACATCACATGGCTCCACTGATGTGCAGTCCAGTCCTTGTATTTTTTTGCGAAGGCAACTCTGTCTTTTATGGGAGAGGCGAGGCTGAGTAGCTGGATGGTAAGCATGGAGTTTGTAATCAACCTGGAGTCGACGGCCGATGGTCCGGCTACTGACAACTCAGGAGGTAATCTTGTCTTGATTTCGGCAGAACTGCACGTGGGAGAGTCAACCACCATCCTTTTTATCATTCAGTTCGTTTGCTTGGAGTTGCAGCGTGGGGCTCCAGAAGACTTCCTATAGGAAAATAAACCAGTTTCACCACTATTGACACATCTTTTTACCACTATTGATACAGAAGATTGACTGAGGTTCAATTTATCAGAAATTACACTTTGTTTTATGCCTTCGCTTGATAAAGCAATGATTTGGGCAGCATGTTCACTGGAAAACTTCTAAAGACGATTTTGATTGGTTGTTACTATTTACACAATGAATTTAATGATTATATCATGCGATGATCATGTTTTTGGTATGTGATAACCGGAAAGGATAATTTTTTTCAATATTTTATCATTATGGCCAGCATGATATGTATATATATATATATATATATATATATATATATATATATATATATATATATATATATATATATATATATATATATATATATATATATATATATATATATATATATATATATATATATATATATATATATACACACACACACATGACCAAACCATAGACATGCTTATTTATTATAAATTATTTTATTTTAGATGGCTCCAATATGATTTTTGTTGTATACACCTACAGTTATGTGTCAATAGATTCGAAAAAAAAAAAACTTTATGTTGATTGATTTTTGATTCCTTGACACCTGAATTTTATAAACTCGGTACAAAGATTCTGAAAAATATAGAAATCAATTACATATATGATCTGATCAACTATTTTAGGCTAAAAAGCTAAAAGATGATTAGTTTTATGTTATTGGTGAGTGAAATTTTAAAATTATAATAATTTTGGTATGACGTGTATTACTCTGGGGTGTCAAATAAAGGGTGATAAAATGGAAATGTATTAAGGCAAATCTAGGTAACTGCCAAGGGGCACCAACCATAAAAGGGCACTTTGTTTTTTACTTTCTTTGCAAAAATTTTTCAGACATTTTTTTCTAACAAGGTTAGAATTAATTTCGAATTTAATTGAATTTTTAAAACTATTCCTATGATTAGCTTAAAATAAACAATGAAGATTTAAAGCAACAATAGATATGAGTGTCTTTAAGCGAGAAACCTTAGTGCAAAAACTCATGTTACATAATTTAATAATCCTTACATAATAGAAACTTGTTTGAATTACTACTTTTAAAGTAAATTTTTGCTTTTAATTAAATCAATAAATAATAATAAAAAAGATAATTAGTTTTTTCTATATAATTGTTTTAACTTCTATTAAAAATTAAAGGGCGACGACTAGTCATATACACAAATATATATATATATTTATTTTTTTATAACTTTTTACTTTTTCTTTTTAATTTACTAAATTACCATTTAAATATTTTTATTTAAATGGTAATATTATTTGCTAATATTAAGCAAAGTTTCATAATAAATAAAGTTTTAGGCTACATAAAGTTTACTTATCCTTTTTTCTTATTTATATTGCTGGTCTCCAAATTCGTTTGAATGATTATAGTGAGATTTAAGAATACATTTTGGTTTTGTCTAACAAGGAAATAAAATTCAACCAACCAAGCATCCCATTTTGCAAAAATGGAATAGCGTTTTCCATCATATTTAAATTTCTATCGTGTGTAACTTAGGTGTCACTGAAGTTTCTGGCTAATGGGCACAATAAAACTTTATTGAATCAGAAATATAACACAGTACATACTTTACACACTTATAGTGTGTAAGTATCTGGTATTGTGGTTTAACCTCCTCCGGCTAACTGCCATATAGAAGTCACTTTACCAGAAGTCCGCAAAGACTAGTTGAGCTCCCGAAAGAGCGTCATACCCGCTCTACGAACTGAGAGTAAGGTTAGTTTGGGAAGAACGAAGATATGTTAGAGTGAAAGATAGAAGTAGTCAAGTTAGAAAGATAGCATAGAGTAAGCGGACAGGATTGCACACGATGTTAGAGAGTGCAATAGTTTGTAAGTATCTTATTATACAGTATAATATACTAAGTATGGACATATTTATTATACTTTATCTTATTATAAAGTGATATGCAATACTTGTGGGCATTATTTTGAACTATCAATATATGTAATATAATTACTTTTTCTAATATTGATCAACTTGATACATTAAATACTACAACATTTCGTCTATTTATGGTGATTTAGGTTGTTGCTTCAACTTTCTTCGGTATAAAAATATACTTCTAAACTTAATACTATGCCCTGATATGATAACGCTTTTTTTTCTTTGCAATTATGTAATACGATTACAAAATAAGAAAAAAACACTTTATTTTATCAGGGTATAGTCACATATGACTATATACTGATATAATAAAGTGTGTTTTATTCTTTCTTATGCATAAGAGCAGAAGTATATTTTTATACAGAAAAAAAGATGAAGCTATAACAAAAAAATTGCAATAGAGGAAATATCGTTGGGAAATTAAAAAAATAAATAAATATTTAATTTCTATGGTTAGAAATTGAGAAAATCAATTTAAAAAAGGTAAACAAGTTACCGACTCAAACTAAAATATCATTCAAGGGAACTGAAACTTTTGTCAAACATTAATTGCAAAAAAAAGATATAGGCGGAAGTTTATTTTAGACCTATTTCTGGCACAATTTGTTAATTTCGTTCACCCTACATGTTTTTAGTGCCAAAAATTGGGGCGGCAGCAACTGTGAGTAAAAAATACTTTTGCAATGCGACGCATATATATCACGCTAAAGTAAAACATTCTAATGAGGACAACGTCATTTTTACGGCAAGCGTTTTGATTTTTAGTATAAATTTAATGCATTAAATAAATTTTCTTGAAAACTTTATACACCAAAGTACTTAATGATGCAGTTGTATCGTCGAATATCATTCGATTGTGTATTTGACAACATTTACAAATACCATGATTTAACTCCTGTAAATATTTTAAATACCATTACTATGACTAAAGATAATATTGTCGGAAAAAACCCGACATGAGTAAATATCATTCATAAAATATACAAATTAAAATTTTGTAAAAAAAAAGAACATCAATCGAAACTGCTAACGGTGATAACTTCATTTTGTTTAAATGTTTTTTAACCTGCAAAAACAAAAACAAAAAGTGCAGGAACCGTTTAAGAAGTAATCGTATGATTGTCTGTCGAGATCAGTATATACACTTCTTTCCAAGGCCAAGGCAATGCAATTGACCATCTAGAAACAATTCAGTGTCAACATTTACAAATCATTCCCCGCTTTGAACTTAATGACTAAAAATACCAGTGTCTTGCATCATGCCGCTACCATCTAGTGGACTCTGTTGATAATCTAATAAATAAGAAAAAAAAATCCTTAAAATTAATGCACAGTACAATAAGCCATAAAAACATATTTACATACACTTACTTATAGATTGTTGCGGCCTTCTCTGGTTTCTTTTATCGATCAAACCACCTAAAGATATCCGTTTATCACTTACATCGTCGCCTAGTTTTTCCTCATCGCCGCGTCTTTTTAAGCAAGCAGCTTTAGGATTTAGATTACGCTCTTAAAATTTAAATTACAAAAATAAGTATTATTTTAAAAACTTAACATTGATATATTTGCACAAATAAACATTCAATATCATTAAAATACCTCGTACTTGAGACTCGAGTGAATTTATAATGGTAACAGCTTGATGCAAGACAGTTAACTAAAAACGAACTTTATTGTTAATGACTTACAAATGCTGCTTACATTCAAAATAACAAAAATTTGTAAATTTGAAACAGCAACAGTAAATTCACGATAAAAACAGTAAAGTATATAAACACCATAAAGTAAGTTAAAAAAAAATTAATTTTATTATTTAATGTATTATTCGTCTTATTGATTTTGATAGCGATTCGAACATTTGAGATTTTAAAACAACTATAACAACAACCTTAGTTTGCGGATTTTCATTTTTTAAATGTAGAGAGCACATGCGCCCAAGCTCTTTAAAAGCTTCATTAATATCACGAACACGTACTCTAGAATAAATTTAAAAGATAGTTTAAAATACTGATAATAAACTTGAAAAATATTTTACGTATAAAAAAATTTAAAAATACCTTTCCCTGGCATTATTAGCGTGTCTTCTCTCAGATTCTCGAAGGTATTTAGGCTCTGAATCGTCATCACCACTCATTTCAATAATATCAGAGTCATCTAACTTATGTCGCTTTTTAGCTTTACTTTCACCTTTATTTTTCTTTTTTCCTATTTCTGTGTATATATATATATATATATATATATATATATATATATATATATATATATATATATATACATATATATATATGTATATATATGTATATATATGTATATATATGTATATATATATATATATATATATATATATATATATATATATATATATATATATATATATATATATATATACATACATATAAATGTATAGATATAAATGTGTGTGTGTGTGTGTGTGTGTGTGTGTGTGTGTGTGTGTGTGTATATATATATATACATATAAATATATAGATCATCCGATAAACAAAATAAATTTTTTGAACTTATTAAAAAATAATATATGTTTCGAGTAATTAATAAAAAAAAAACCAGAACATTAACAATGAAGTGACTGTGTCACATTGATTATGATTTTACTTTCAACTGTAAAAGCTAAGCACACGATTCTTTTTTACAAATATAATATATTAAAAATTTAATATTTAATATAATTCTTAATGTAATGGTGCTATATATCTAGTGCTACAGTGACAGAGCAGTTTTCGATTGAAACAAAATTTAACACTAATCTTAAGATAAAGTTTTTATTTTGAAAGTATAAAAAATATTACAGCAACGTAATAAGCTTTTCTGTCTTGTCTTTTTTCAATTAGGTTTATAACCACATGCCACATCTCCTTTTAATTTTAAATTTTTTATGTATTATATCATCTTTAATGCTTTTCAATTTTTCAATTTTTTGCAAGTTGCTGATAAAATCTCTTTAAACTATTTTTTTTAAACTAGCGTTTTAACTAGAAACAAAATATAGTCAAAACCTTTCTCACATTTCAACCAAACAGCTTTCAAATTAACCAGTAGACTAGTAGACCTGGAAAGGCTAGTAGACCTGGAATGAAGCAACCTGAAATTATTTTCATAATTTGAATGAATCGGAGTCTAGTTGATACTTTCCCGTTTTTTTAAAAAAAATCATGAGTTATATATAAGCTTTACATATAGAGATAGTTTATGAGATCACCATAAGGCTTACCTTATATATATAGAGAGATAATATGACCATCATAAGATCTACCTTATTAACTATCCCAATAAAATTTGATACACTATTTTTATACGCATCAGTAAAACACAGTTTATAACATATTAAATTGTGATTTACTTAAAAATAAAAATTTTCGCAGTTTATTCAGGACCCTTAAATGGTTATAAATACTTTCAAATGGCTATTCTTTCAAATGTAACTTGTTTCAATGTAACGTTTAAATGACAACAAACTAGAAATTTTGAACTTGAGATTTTACTAAACAACTTATGAAAATATTTGATTGCTTTTTTGATATACACTTATGAAAATCATATTTCATTGCTTTTTGATATACACTTATGAAAATCATATTTCATTGCTTTTTTATTTTTATTTATTTTTTATTTCATTGCTTTTTGATATAATTGATCAATTTTTTGTAAATGGAAATGTATTTTTTGTCGCAAAATGAATAAGCAAATGAAAAAAAAAAAAATTGATTTCGAAGTAAAGGCATTTATTAACAATATTTGTGATAAAAACTAAAATATTATGAAAACAACTTTTCCTAATTCGCTAAACAATTCCAAAGTTTAAAATTATTTAAGATTGAAAAAACGAAGCATTTTTTAATTTCCTGTTTTGTTTTTGTTTTTAAATTTCATGTTATTTATCAAATTTGTAATATAAAAAAATATATTATTTCGCATTCTTTTCAGCGCTATAAATTTAAAAATTAGAAAATGAATTGAAAAATATAAAATTAAAAAATTTTAGTAGATAAGTACAAAAAATTTTTTTTTCTGATCATAAAAACAAAAGAATACTTTGAAATAAAAACTAAAGAATATTTTGAAAACTATTGAATTGTAAGCGCCTACATTTTTATAATATATCCGCGATGATAAGAATCAATATCACTATTTCTATGATCACACACACACACACACACACACACAAAAAAAATAACAATTTTAGGTTATTTTGTTTAGTTAAGGGTTGTACCAAATTTGAAATTTTAAATTCCGGCCGGAACGAGAATTATATTTATGTAATTTTTTACTTTCAAGATTGAAAGTGAAAGCCTGCACCTCAACATCGCGGCTACATAATATACATTTATAAGCCAGGTAACATTTTTGATGAAAAAAGAGCTAGTTTGTTGCACTAAACTGGATAGCAATTCTTTTTGCCCCACAATATTCCTAAACTTCTAGAAATCCTTAGATGATTGATTACTGCAAATAAAATCACACTGTGTTTGTTAAGAACTGTGTATTTTTTTAGTTCAATATATATATATATATATATATATATATATATATATATATATATATATATATATATATACATACATACATACATACATACATATATATATATATATATATATATATATATATATATATATATATATATATATATATATATATATATATATATATATATATATATTTATATATATATATATATATAGAACTCCTTTGTTTCATTAATTTGAAACCTCAAGGGATCTTAACATGTGTTCGAACATCAAGAGTTTTCGAATTATAGGAGTTCAATCCTAAATATTAAACCCTAAAAGGACCGAAGAATTGCCTGATTTAAATAATATTTCAAATTGTAGGAGTTCGAATTACAACAGTTTAACTGTATATATAGACATAATATACAGTTAAACTGTTAAAAAAATAATCAACGACATTTTTTATGTGCTTTTTTTTGTTGTTATATCTTCTGGTTTATTTTTTGAAATTAACATGTGGTTTTTTATGATTTTATTTGATAATTAAATTTCAGGAAAATTTTTTTTTAAGTGATAGATTTTTAAAAACAAAATTTTAATCACTAAAATATTCTGGAATTAAAAATCTTCATGTACAATAAAATTATAAAATAGATTATTTATAAGGTGTCCAGTTTCGTGTTATTAGCCGGTCAGGTAGCAACAAAACACTTATTTTTTTGTTAAAATATATAATATTTTACCTAGCAAATTTTGAGGAGTGGATATGTGTGAATTAATACTATTATCAATTGGCGAATCGATTGGTGCATTTTGCAATTGGTCCGTAAGAGTAGGAGGATAACGAGTGTGAATGTATGGACGCGTCAAAGAGCTTTCTGCGTGATTTTTTAATACCCATATTGCGTCATCCAAAGTTTCTTGCATCCGATTCTTAAATGAATAAGTCAAGCACCATATTACCTTTAATAAATAATGTAAACTATAACCACATAATTAAAGAGAAAAAAATTACCATTTGCTGTATATTGTCAAATGATGCAGGATTGGTATTTGTTGACAAAGGGGCATTAGTACGATTACTTATGAGAGGAGGTGGAGAGGCTACAGGAGAAGAAGGGTTCGAAGGAAAGCTTGCTGTGGAGTTCGTTTCATTTGAATACATCTAGAAAACACAAAGAAATCGCAAACTTTCGTCAGAATATATGGCGATAATATTAGCAATAATACCTCAAGAATGTTAGTACATTCTTCAGGTATTATTGTAATATTTGGAATCAAAATTGCAGTAAATGCAATATTAAGATTAATATCAAAACTTAAAAGCTTACCGAAGCAAGCGCTTTACCGAGCGATTCGCCAGGTTGAGAAGTACAATGAGTGGATTCATTTCCACGAGGAAGTGCTGAAATAATTTTTTTTTCAGAATAAATTTTTTTACATTAGTACGTAATCATTATGTAACAATTTAATTCTTACTGTCGTTATAACTTGATGTTGCAACAAATTGGCTCGAGGATGTATTTAAAGAAGATGAACCGTGCTGTCTAAATGAAGACATTGGAGGTAGCGACGGAGGAAGACGAGAATCACTAAGTTCCATTGTTGAGTACTTATTGAAAAAACAGCAAACATGCGATATATTATACGAAAAATATGCTTATATAAAAGATCATTTACATATATTTTAATTTAATTAAATAATACACTTACAAACTCTGGAGGTAACGTTGAGTAGGGTCCTGTCATGGTATGTGGTCTGACGCTTGTCATATGGTGACCCCAAGGATCAGGCGAACCATGTTCTAATCAAAACAGAACTTGCAAGTTTCAATAGAGTTAGACCACAGTAACTAACTTTGAATAAAATATTAAAAAATTTATATATTACCTAAATAATAGTCATTGCCATAAATTCCACCTTTAGGTGAAGAATAAGGAAGCGATGGATCACCAGGTATAATATCTTCAGAAGTTGGCGAATAAACCTAAAATAAGGGCATTCAATAATATTTATGAAATATAAAGCCAAAGTATTTTAGTTTTCCATGTATAATATCTTTAGAAGTTCGTGAATAAACCTAAAATATAAAATATAAAACCAAAATATTTTAGTTTAGATGGTATTGATAGAAAGCAGTCTTTTTTAGCTTTTTTTTTAACTTTTAATTAAAAATACTCAATACACCATCTAGTATATGGTACAATCTGCAACTAATATAAATGTATTACAATCTTACAAAAATAGTCGACCAGTAATCCATTGCACGTTCAATGTGGTCATGCATAATGTTAGTCGCGTGCATATTAAAATGATTTTATTTATGAAGAAAGTATAATTACAATAAAATTAACCACAAGTTTTTAAATGACCAATATGACATCACATATTAAACTTACAAAATAAGAATTAGAAAAATGGTTAAGCTTCTGGTTTCCATTTACAAACGACATTCTAATTTGTTATTTTTCTATCTTTTTAATTTTTTTGGTGCCTTAAACAAGATAAAAATAAAAACTTTCTTTAGTAAAAGATTAAACAAGAATATCTTTTCACAAAAGAAAAAAAAGAGTTTCTACGACTTTACCAACGTGATAATAACGCACTGGAAAATGAATCTATTTGTAGACAACAAAGCTCCATAAACTTTCTTTTATTAAATCATTTGAACTCTTCAAGAACAAAAGAAGGATTTTGTATTTAGGCATAACTAAAGGAAATTATTTTTAAATAAGAATCGCCGCTACACGTGAGCTAAAATAATGCACACAAAAACAAAAAAAAGCAGGTGTTACAGATAAAACAAAAATAAAACTTTATTGTAATCGTCACGATTTAACTTTTAAACGATGAAAGAAGAAATTGGTTAAAACACACTAGAAAAAAACCTACGATTTCCGGCATTCGTTTATTTCTTTTTCAGTATAAAAATTGATAACTTTCTGTAAGGAAAAATTGGAAAAACTCAAACTAGATCACTAAATTAATTTTTTTTTTTATAGAAACCGAAAATATGAGTTGGTATCTTAGACTTTTAAAAAATGAAAATATAATTTGCAAATGTAAAAGATTTTTTTTTTAATATTCATCAACGTTTAACTTCTGAAAAATTTCTGTATTATAGCTTATAAGAATATTGAGAGGATGAAAACACATTTTCATACAAATATCTGGGATAAAATTATAAAAAACAAAATAATTTAAAAAAATACTTCATGCTTTTTATTAGTAAATATATTTTAAAATTTTATTATTTCATTAGAAATTTTAAAAATATATAAAAGATCGTTGAAAGTAAAATTTTTTGTAAATTACCATTTTCCATTTATTTATTTTTTGAATTTTAATTATTTAATTTAGTTTTAAATCTTAGTGTTTTTTTATGAAATGTTCATTAATTTAGTTTTAAATGTTCTCTTTTACAATAAAGTATTGGTGCGTTCAGGAAAATAATTACGTTTCTATGTTAGTATTCTTTTTCACTTAGAATATTGCCATAGAATAGTCTTCATCTTTTTCTTAGTTGCGAACAAAAATGAAGTTGGTTTAAATATAACCTTTTTAAACATTAAAAGTTAGGAAAGTATGTAAATTTCTAATAAAATACTTGTATTACGTTTTAATACGGTCGTACTAGGTATAGTCATAATTTTATAAAAATGTATTTACTCTAAAGTGTCGAGTAAACAAAAAGGACAACATTTAGTGCTGATGCTACTTATCTCAATTTGAAAAATAAAGCTAACTTTTTTTTATATAGATTTGCAAACTTACAATTTGCGATTCTAAAAAAAAACAGATTTATGTAAAACTATCTAAGTAAAAAACACAACAAGGGTAATCAACGGCGCAGCTAGCGTTGGAATGTGTTTGATTAAATTAACGACTCGTTTATCAAGCCAGTATTATGAAGACATTAAATGTAATTTTCATTTGGTAAAAACTGCGACTAAACTAATCGTATTAATCGTATCAAAGCAAATTTGATAAGTTATAATATTAATTTTTTCTTCATTTTATTTCATTTTTGTGGTTTGATAAAAATCGATTTTAATCATACAACAGAAATTTAATACTTATTATTTATAGGTAGCTAGTAAGATGAATAATTATTATTTATAGGTAGCTAGTAAGATGAACAATTATTATTTATAGGTAGCTAGTAAGATGAACAATTATTATTTATAGGTAGCTAGTAAGATGAACAATTATTATTTATAGGTAGCTAGTAAGATGAACAATTATTATTTATAGGTAGCTAGTAAGATGAACAATTATTATTTATAGGTAGCTAGTAAGATGAGCAATTATTATTTATAGGTTGCTAGTAAGATGAATAATTATTATTTATAGGGTGCTAGTAAGATGAACAATATAAGCATTTAAAACTTTTATCTTTAAAAAAATGAAGGGAGTTGAGACTATTTCGCCTTGAGTTCAACATTTTAGCTTACAATGAACTCTTGATAGCTGTTACTAAATGACTAGTACTGTAACAACCCACCAATCTGACTGTAAAGACGCATTAGAAGCTCCTAGTGATCGTTACTTGCCTTTATATAAAATCTTAATACTTAACATGCTTAACCTCAATTTATAAATAAAACAATGCAGTTAATCATAAAATTATATAAATAAAATAATAAAAAAAATAAACGTGGCTAGTCATCAAAATATCTGATTTATACATTTATTTACACCTTTAGAGCTGAAAAAATAGTTTCCAATTTTTTTTTTTAAAAACCGGTACACGTTTTGAGGTTAGTTTCCACTCATCCGTTTTTCTACAGGAAAGGGAAAGGGAACGGAAAAATAATCACGCGAGCATACTCGGACAAATAACAACTTTTATTACGCATGCTCACGTGATTTTTTTTTTATTCCTATCCCGTTCCCGTAGAAAAACGGATGAGTTTAAACTCGCCTTAATAAGTATATCGTTGAAAGATTTAAACATGATTTAAATTGGTTGTCTTATCGTGTCATAGTAAGCTATGGTTTTAAACACATTTATTTAAATTAAAAAATTAAATATTATGAGTTAAACAGAATTTTTTTTGTGTTTGATGTCAATAATCAAATACGCATTCAATTATAAAATTTTTACTTTAGAATTAGAATAGTAGCAATAATAGAATTAGCATTGTAATATTAGAAGATTAAGGTGATTAACTATTTTAGCATGTTACTAACAAAAAAATTTTATTATAGACAAAAAATTAAATTGTTAAGTAATGAATTGAATGATTACAAAACTACAAATGTCATTGATGACTCTTTAACATTTACGCTGCTGTTGAAACAAAAATGTCATCTTGTTGATGACAAACTTTATACAAAAAAAAATTCCTACTTCTAGAAATTCACGGTAAAATTTTTCCTTATTAAAAATGTAACAATTTTGGTTTTAGTAAAATTTTAAATTAATTGCACTCTAGGACGTCGAGTAGAAGGCGCAAAAGAAGCATATGTGCCCAGGGCACTAAGATAATACGACGCCATAAATCAAAGAACAAAACAAAAATTATAGAAGTGCTACAAATTATAAAATTTTTTATCTTTTTAATTGTCTATTTTAATTGTAAATTCTTTATGGAAAAAAAAAAAACTTCAGTTCATTAGTCAACTTTGTGTAAAGTTGTTTATACGCACACTGATTTAGGACCTTTCCCTAGTAGGCATCTGTATGCTTTCAACCCCCTCCCCTCGCTCTCTACATTCGTACGCATTATTTAATTTAAAATCAAACCCCCTTCACTAACACATAAACTTTTCAAAAAGTTAAAAACAAAAAAAACTTTTAATTCGAAAAATCTGTTAGATATCACAATATTGATTTTTTCTCGTGAAATTCAATGCTTTAATTTAAAAAAAAAGAAATTTTATGGGAAATAGAGAAAAAGAAATAGTCAAACCGCATACGTATTGGGTGTCTTAAACCCCCTCACCTCCCTTCTACTTATTCGTACGTTTTTGGGTAACAAAAACAGTTCAACAAAATTAAACTTTTCTTCATAAAAACCTAATAAACTTTTAACTAAACATAAGAAATTTTTCCTTTTTTTTTTTAATTTCCATTGTTTAAAAATTTAATGTGTAACCTTGAATTGCGTGGCGGATGTTAATCAAAGAATATTTATCTCAAATATTTTGATGAAAACACAAATGGGTTTTCAGTACAACATTTTTTTTATCAAAAGTGCAACATGCGGACACCTCACATGTAAGAACTGTTGACTGTGTTATTATGACATTTAGATAATCTCAAATTATAACTAATTATAGATAAATCCAAAGCGAAGAGAGATCAATTTTGCCTGTGAAAGCTGGTGCAAGTATTAGCAGAATGATAAAAACTACTAATTTCCCTACTACACATTACTAGCACTACCAGGGCCGACGACACGGATTTTGAATTGGAGGGGCACAATCATCAATTTTTTTTAAAAAAAGTCCTATATATCTAGGATTTTCTTTGAAAAAAAAAAGAAAAAAAAAAGTTCCTTTAGAAAAAAAAGGAACTTTTTTTCTAAAGGAACTTTGTGTGTGTGTGTGTGTGTGTGTGTGTGTGTGTGTGTGTGTGTGTGTGTGTGTGTGTGTGTGTGTGTGTAGCTAAGATTTTAAGGTTTCTTGTTTCCATTCTCCTATCACAGTAATTTTTTTTTGTGAAGAATCTTTACTGTGTATCACAGTAATTTTTTTTTGTGAATAATAAATACTGAGTAATACATAAAGCTAAGTCAAAAATTCTGCAAGAATTGAGCAGAATTTCCTATAAAACTTTAAGTTATTGATGCATTAAGTCGTTTGTTCCAGTTGACTTCACTATCAATTAAACGAAATCTTTATTAATCAGCTGCTAATAGGCAATTTTGGTTGCGTCCGCCCCTCATGGGTTAATATTTGTCTTCAAAGAACATGAAGACTCCACCAAACTATTAAGATGGCAAGAAGAGAGTATTTCCAATATTAATATTCCTACTCACTGTATGTTAAATGTATATTCACACACACACACACACACACACACACACACACACACACACACACACACACACACACACACACACAGATATATATATATATATATATATATATATATATATATATATATATATATATATATATATATATATATATATATATATATATATGAAACAAAAATGTCATTATATATATATATATATATATATATATATATATATATATATATATATATATATATATTAAACAAAACATAGGTGTTATTTAATTCTAATGCGTTACATGAAAATATAGATGTAAAAACAGTGAAAATCGGCCTTATAAACTATTTCAGTCACTGATAAAACAAAAGTTTTCAGTGTAAACAGGCTTTAAAAATCACTGACCAAGTAAATCTCGATTTATCGAAAATGAGCTTTTAATTTATTTCTCACCAAAGTATAAAACTTATATCAACATATTAAATACAATTGAAACTATTATAAAACAGCTGTTAGAAAATGTGCATTTGACCGCAAGCCGCACTAGAGTTAAATGGCTTTATGTGTGTTTTGTAATAAATATTAGTTTGGATTTATAAACTGAAACTTTTTATAAAAAATACTTATATAGTAACATCAAATCCGGTCCTAAATCTTATAATTTTGTCCGGGCAAAATTTTAAGATTTTGGTTTTATAAGATTGTAAGATAAGGTTGATAGCTGGGGCTAGAAAAAAGTTCATAATACTTTATGCATTCATATTATATATAAAATTTATTATTTATACTGGCATATGAAAATATTTTTTTAAAACTTGGCAAAAAAAGGAATGTCAACAAAATTGCTATAGTTGTTTGCAGTAAATAAGTTTTGTTAGATTTAAAATGCACAAGCCACTGCATGTTACAGAAGTAAGGTTAGATTTAAAATGCACAAGCCACTGCATGTTACAGAAGTAAGGTCAGATTTAAAATGCACAAGCCACTGCATGTTACAGAAGTAAGGTCAGATTTAAAATGCACAAGCCACACTGCATGTTACAGAAGTAAGGTCAGATTTAAAATGCACAAGCCACACTGCATGTTACAGAAGTAAGGTCAGATTAAAAAGCGGTTATTTGTTCTAAGAAATCAAAAAGTGAAGACTTTTTGTCAAAACAAGTGTATAAAGTTAAGTTATCACCAAATAGAGCCTTAGATGTAAGATTGCGAGGAAAATTTTTTTTAGATAAGAAACATGAGCAAAGATTAAACCTTGCGATACTCCTAAAGTTACTGGAAATGAAAATGAGTGTAGGCTTTCTTTTAGACTTGAATTTAGAAAAAAATGATTTAGTAATCTTAAAACCTTTATATGAAGGAACTAACACAAGAGAGAATCGTGAGAGTTGGAGAGGAGTGTTTTCTAGAGTTTTTAAATATTGGAACCACTAATTTTATTACAGTTATTTTTATTTAGTTTAATAGTTTAGCAAAAATTGAGATATTTTTTCAATTGAGTATTGATTTTAGCATTAAAGACTGGAGTAATTTAGATGTCTAACAGCGGATTAGTCTGTTTAATTGAAATGGCAGGAAGAGTATGGTCATTAGATTCAGGAGTCAAATTAGAGGAAAAGTTCTTTGCAAGTAACTCTGCCTTATTCTGGGGAGAAAGTAACAAGATCCATGAACCCATGAATTAGAGATGTAATGTTGCACTTATTATTAGAAAAGGAGCTATAATCTTAGACAGAGACTAGAAAAAACATTGTATTGAATAACGTTTGCCAGAGAAGATTAAGTGGTTTGGGTATCAGCATGCAGACTAGTAGCAGCTTCAGGAGGAAATGGTAGAATTAGCAGATTTTAAAGAATTATATTAGAGAAACAACATAAAAGGGTAAGGCTAAAGCTTAATAATGATGATTATGATAATAATGAATTAGCTTCAGGAGGAAATGATAGAATTAGCAGATTTTAAAGAATTATATTAGAGAAACAACATAAAAGGGTAAGGCTAAAGCTTGATAATGATGATTATGATAATAATGTTGATGATCATGTTGATAATGATGTTTATATGTAAATATACATATATATATATATATATATATATATATACATATATATATATATATATATATATATATATATATATATATATATATATATATATATATATATATATATATATATATATATATATATATATGCTCAGAAATTAGTAAAAAACGATTGATTAATTTTTTTCTAAGTTAAGTAAAAAATAAAAAATCACTGAAATCATCAAACTGAGTAGCTGTTTCAGTTCCACCAAGAGATCATCTAAGTCATATTTAAAAAATCCGGAAAAAATTTTGAAAAAAAAAAAAAAAAAAAAAAAAAAACGAAAAAAATCTGGAATTTTTTTCTTTCTTTTTTTTTTTTAATTTCTCAATTTTAAAAATAATGGTAATGACTAAAAAAGTTTTAAAACTTTTATTGCAAATATATATATAAGTAAACTTGCATTTACATAAAATTTTTTGGAAATCCAGTAAAAATAAAAGTTAAAAAAAAACATCGGGAATTCCAGATATATCCGAGAAAAGATAATCCCTAGTTCATCCATTCAACTCTTCAAATCTATCAGGCCCGTAGGAACAAAAATTATATTGAGGAGGGGGGGGGGGAAATTACTGGATTAAGGGGCCCCAAATTATTCTTGAGGAACTTTTTTTTAAATCTATCAGGCCCCTGCTACCCTCCCCCCTTCCCCCGGTTGCTATGGGCCTGAAATTAAACTTTTTTTTTTAACATTGATCCACATCTTCCTTTGGTAAAATACAACAAATCATATTCATTTTAACATGATTTATTTTTTTGGTAAAATAAAGTAAATTGTGATTCATTTTAACATTGATAGTTAATCTTCTTGTTTACGAGATTTTATTTTATTTTAGAACTTGATAAATTTCTGTTGTTTGACCATTCATATTATATAAATTTCTTTCAACATGAAAAGTTATAGTACTTAAGATTCAATGAGATTCATAAAAATGTTTATAAAAATGTTCTCAGCTACATGGCTGTTTATAAAAATGTTCTCAGCTACATGTCTGTTAATAAAAATATTCTCAGCTACATGGCTGTTTATAAAAACATGTTCTCAGCTGCATGGCTGTTTATAAAAACATGTTCTCAGCTACATGGCTGTTTATAAAAATGTTAGAACATAACATTTATTAATACAAAAGGATTAAATTGAAAATAGTCAAAAAGTTATTTAATAATAATAAAAAGTTTTATTTTATACATATATAATATAAGTTTTATTTTTATACATATATAAAGCTTGTATGCCGCAGTTTCAAGGTCCTGATTCTTACTTTTTTTTTTTCAGATTTTGATCAACAAATCTCAATCTGTAATGCAATGGGTACACTTAATCTCTATTTCATCATCAAAAACAGTCTTTAACCACTAGACAATGACCAAATGAATCTTACAAAACAAGCATAACAAAATGCTATTTAATGTAACCTTTTTTAATGTTTGAAATTGTTAATTTTCAAACATTAAAAAATTTGTAATAACTTTTAATATTAAAGGATTTGTAATAACTTTTACTTTTGATAATTTTACCTTTCACATCGAAAACTTTATATGCAGGAAAAAATGTCACTAAAAATCTTTAAAGATCACACAATTGTGATGTGATCTTTAAAGATTTTCAGCAAAGATATTGTCAGCTAGCACTATTATCTCACATCTGGCATGAAGGCTACAATATGAGCACCCCTAATTTAAATGAGAAATAAAATCCGGTAGTGGTAGAGCGCTCGCTTCATAAACAAAAAGTTCCAAGTTTGATCCCCACCATGCCCCTGGTAGCACATCACTCTACTTATTTCTTTGCACAGTGGTCTTGTTCGCCAAGATTTAAGTTTTTGAGTCAAAGAGTTGAGAGTGGGTTTTACCACAATTAAAGTAGCCTGCTCGTATGTAGTACCTTTTCGACCTTGGGGAAGTGAGTTAATATTTAAAAAATCCAACTTATGTCATCATGCTTTTAGTGAAAAAATCTTTAAAATTAATTTTTAAAATTGAATTAATGAATTAATATTTAAAAAATCCTACTTATGTCATCATGCTTTTAGTGAAAAAATCTGTAAAATTAATCTTTAAAAATAGGCAACTCTTTATAAAACTAAATATTTATTAGCTAGTTACAATTTTTATTACAAAAAATTTTGTTAATAAAGTGATCAAATTTTATAAAACAATTTTTTTTTTTAAATAAGATAATCCTTCTTTCCCTATGCAATATTTGTTGACATTTCTTAATTTTTCCACATTTTTTGTTAACTGCCAGATGTAAATGATCACTTAGTGAATAAGGAATATAATTTAACACTAGTCTAGAAATAATTAAAAAGAATTCAAGATAAGTAATCAACCTTTTTATTTTATTCCTTTAATATATACATATATTTAACTTACTGAGCGAGCAGCAGAGCTTTTCTGTTGCTGCTTGTAACGACGCCCTATACAGAAATAGATCAATTAATGTTTAAAATTTTTTTCAAGTATATCAAGACCACATCCAGATCACTTTTAGCAACAACTGATAAAAATATTTACATTGATGCAAGTATAGCAAAGATTATTGTTATAATTGTATAAAAAATTCAATTGCAGGCATAATAACTTTTAGTGCTGCATAAAAGTTTATTAAAACTTTAAAAAATGCTTTATCAGTAATTATTAAAAAAAGATCTTTAAAAAATTCTCTAGAATTTAATTTTTAAATTAAAAAAAAGACTTTTAATGTTTATATATTTCATTTTTTAGCAAAAAATATAGAAAGAGGCAAAAATACAAAAAACAAACAAACAAACAAACAAACAACAACAACAACAAGAAAACTCTTCTGACCCTGGGAAAAAATCAAGAAAAAATTTTAACACAGGCCTTTCATAGAAAGTGGGTGAGGTTGCATGCCTTGTTAGTCCATGCAAAAAATATTTTTTTTGGACAGCTTGATGAAGAATGTTAGCATGTTTCACATAGCTTTTCAAAAATTTCACTGAAAAAAGTAAACTCAAAAAAAACTTAAAAAAAAAACTAAAAGAAAAGAAGTTTTAACAAAAGAGAAAATAAAAAATAATAAAAAAATAAAAATAAATAAAACTTGAAAAATTAATTAAAAAAAAGATTTGATGCATAATTATTTTACTTTTTTTTTATTTTTTAATTCTTACAGTTTTTATTTTCAGCAGCAACAAAATTTGAAGTCAAGAAAACTTGTATCAAATTTTGACATAATTTCTTTAAAGAAAATAAGAAGACTTTCTAATATTCAATTTATTTATTTTTATCAATCAGTACCTCAAGAAAATAATTTATTTACGCAGGAAAAAGAAAGCAAGGGAGTAAATAATTTTTTTTTTTAAATTAAGTACTTTTGAATTAGATGTCATTGAAACTTTGATTCTTCCTTTTCTTATTTTTTCATATTAAAATATAAAAAAATTTAGTTAAAAAAATTTTTATTTAATAAATAAAATTTTTTAATTTATTTATATTTTATTTTTCCTTATATTTAAGATTTCATTTTCCTTTTTTTAAAGTTTTTATTTTAAACTTTAGCTGAACTTATTTCTGAGAAATATTGAAACGCTAATATAATTAATATGTCAAAACATGCAAAAAGTTGTGGTCAAGGTGTCTAAAAAAATATTTTATGCATGGACAGACAAGATGTGTGACTGAACGCCCATCCTATGAAAACCTGATAACAAAAAGAAAAACAACAGAACCTTTTTTTAACATTAATTCAATAGAAATATTGTATAATAAAAGTTGTTTTTATGATTTTTTTGAAAAAAAAAAAAAAATCCCCAAGTTATAAATAACTTGTCTATAACTGGAAAAAAAATTTTTTAAAAATGAGAAAGGGTAGAGAGTCGATGCTTTGCAGCTGCGATCTCTGCTAATGAAAACAAAAGCAATATTTAATAATAACCATTATTAAGAATTTAATGAAGCATCTAATGATCACAACTATAATTTGTGCAAAAAAAATCTTTTATTGAAAACAAAATTTCTGCTGTCTTAAAAAAACTACTAAAAGAATATGCCAAAGAAGGTCTGGATGCAGCCCTGAAACTAAAAAAATAAATATAAAAAGTTGAAAAAAACTAACATTCTGTGCTCTCTACATTATCTGTAGGTGATACTGCTCTGGTGTAAGATATATTCTAAAGTCAACACAACATGTAAAATATTTTCTATAGCAAATATTTTATGCGAGGATAATCAATGATAAAAATTACAGTGATAAAAATTTATAGAATAATAAAGAACACTTTTTTAATTTAAACTTTAACTACAACAACTTTCAAAAACATTTTTTATACTAAATTAAAATAATTAATAAAATAAAATTGTTAGAAAACTAGAGACTCAAAACCTTCACTTCATCCCCATTTTTCTGTTTCCATTCCATCCTAATATATATTTTTCCATTCCTACCTCATCCCTGTTAAATTATTATCTCCACCCTGTCAGCATCAAGTTTGTCAATATTTCTGCCCCTATCATCACCAGAAAACTTTTATCTAGTCATCTCCCACACCAATGTTTTGGAATTTTCTCCCGTCTTCATGCTTTTTTTAAATTGCCAATACTATTCATAATACTGGCATAATATAATTCATAAAAAAGGAAAAAAAGATTGCAGATGCATTAGATTATTTCCTAATTATCATACTCTTAGGTGCTTAATACACGAGAGGGGACATTTATAAATTTTTCGAAAATTTCCCCACCCACCCCAAGATTATTAGGACCCCCATGTTTATTAACTTTTACTTGTTATCAACAAAAAAACAATATTTTGAAACTAAAGAAAAAAAAAAAAAAATCAGAAAATATATATATCAGTCACTGATAAGAATAAAAACTATCAAATTGTTGACCTTTAAAAAATCTCATATATCTCAATTGGTCAAAAATTAGGCGTCTGTTTATTTTTATTACTATAGTTTTAAACTTATATAGCAATATTAATTCCTATTGTAATTTTGATGAAGGAGCTGTTAAAAAATGTACATTTGACTGCAAGCCACAATAGAAATAAAATGTTTTATTCATGTTCTATAAAAAGTTCCAAGCCATTTATTAAAAACCCTTACCCCTGTTTATTAGATCTGTACTAAAACTCATACCCCACCCTATGTATTAAGCACCCCAGACGCCAGACACTCTACAAATTTTTTGATAACTTTAATTGTATCAATTAATTACTATTCGGATTTGGAAAAACCATTCTACCACACATGCATTAAATGATGCCAAGTTTGTTTATGGCATCATAAAGCCAAGTTTGTTTATGGCATCACTCTTCGCTTTATATATATATATATATATATATATATATATATATATATATATATATATATATATATATATATATATATATATATATATATATATATATATATATATATATATATATATATATATATATATATATAAATTAGGGTGGCGCAAAGTCAATAAAAAAAGTACCATAATAATTTTTTTGGTTCCTTTTGATATATGTACTAAAATGATATAACTTTTTTATGAGTACCTCTATGGTTGGTCCCAGCAGTCTGAAAATACAATAATTTCTATTTTTTGTATATAATGAGGGGGGCAGGATCACTTACAAATATTTCAAAGATATGTTAAGGGTTATTATTGTAGCCTGATATATTCAATTTTAGTGTTATTTTTTTTTATAGTTATATACTTTTATAGTTATATATTTTTTATAGTTTTTAGTGTTATAATTTTAGGGTTATTTTTTATATGTTAAGGGTTATTTTTGTAGCCTGATATATTTTATTTTATTGCAAAAGCTCTACCCATTTAAATACATGCTGTGTATAATTGGGAGGTGGGCAGGAGAGGAGAAACTGTATTGCAATATTACCATTACAGAGAACTTATGCTAAGAGCTGATTTTCCAAACAATTTCTTTACTGCACAATGTGCTGAAATAAGTTGTTACCTCCAAAAATATTTACCATGTGTCCTTTACGAGGTGGAGAAAACTTGTCAAAAAGCAAGATTTCCTTTTATTAATACTGACAAGCATATCAGGTGTTTTATTATATTAAAATGATTTTAAATTTTTAGTTTAATCCAATTTCAAATTAATTTTATATAAGTAACAATTATAAATTCATAAAATTTTATATATTTATAACAAATTACATTAATTTTAATGCATTCTTTAACTTTTGTTTTAGAGACAAGATTGTTGATTTAAAAAAAGAAGAGAAAAAATTTAAACAAACACAGGAATTATTTAAGTACAAATTTAGTTTAAAAAAAAAGAAAATTTTTCAAGAATTCTAGGTATTTGATGCAAGTCAAAGCAATTGTGAAGATATAATTATGAAAGATAAAACTAGAAAAGAAGATGAAGATTTTTTTAACAACCAGAAAGGAGCGCATTTCAGAAAAGGTTAGGTAAAAAACAAAACAAATAGAAAAAAAAAATCAAAAAATCAAAGAACAAAATAGTCCATGAGAAAACAGAAAGAGTTACTAAGAAATTTGAAAACACAACAAAAATTTTAAATAGTTGAGATAATGACCATGATGAACAGTATCTACAGCCTTCTAGAAAAATTAAAAAATCTAATGCTGTCCCTCTTATTGTTCCAAAAAATATAGGGAAATATTTAGCTCCAACAGCATCACGATATGTTCCTGCACTGAGTGCAACTCTGGTTTCTCTTATAAATAATATTTCTGGAACAACAAATGATTTTTTTATTTCTAAACGAAGTATTTTGAGACAGAAAAATTTAAGTAAAACTGCCTGTAAAATTAAAGACAACTTTATTATATTGGCTTCGGGTATAGAAATTATGGCTAAAAAAAAGTTATGGTAGAAATGAAAGAACTTGGCAAAGAAAAAGTTGAAAGAGTAGATGTGCTAATCAGTTCATCAGATCTTTCAGAACCCCAACTTGTATTTTAATTGTGAAAGATGGCACTGCTGATCTTATCTTGGAAAAGCAATCAAAAAAACTTTAAAAGACTGGGAGCTATTTGACTATGTTAATCGTCTGTCCTTTGATACCACAGTCACAAAATATTGGTCAGTGGAGAGAAAAAGCTTTGCTTTATATGGCTTGTCGTAATCAGGTCTATGAATTACATATAAAAGTAAATATTGAAAAAATCATAATATATTTTTATATTTATTTATATATTTAATTGTGAATATAAATGATTCACCTTATTAAAATTTTTCTTACTGGTGATAAAACTGTTCTTACTGGTGGTAAAACCAGAGTTGTTAGTCCTCGACTTTGCCTTAAGGCCAAAAATTAAGACCTTGGCCTTGGTGTTGGCCTTGATTGATTTAGCCTTGGCTTTCAAAAAAAATCAAAATTAAAGAATTAAAAATTTTCATTCTTTATTTTTATGTATTTTTGTTTTCGGCTTTTATTTTTGTTTTCGGCATATATATCTACAAGTATATTTTCTTATTGACTTAAATTCTGCGCATAACCTTGGTCTAATTTTGCAACATGCAGTTTTATTGTCACAGCGTAAGAAAAAAATTTAAGTTTTATTGTCACAGCGTAAGAAAAAAAATTTAAGTCTAAAAATGTTTAAAAATGTTTGTATAGGCCTTGGCCTTTAAACACCAATTCTAGGCCTTGGCCTTGTAACATGTAGCCTTGGCCTTGTAACTTTTAGCCTTGGTCTTGGGCTTGTAACACGTGGTCTTGGCCTTGGCCTTGCTACTTTCGGCAATTTTAACAACTCTGGGTAAAACAAGTGGACCAAAGACTGAATTATTTGAAAGGCTGAAGTGTAATTGGAAATCGAAAATCATGATAACCTAAATAGATATGACTCAGAAAAAAAAAATTGTAATTTTTTGTGGAAAAGCAGGTTGGTTTAATTTTCCTAATTAGATTAATGCGTTTGATTATAAGTTTTAATAATAAAGTTTTTTTTTAATTTAGACATCTGAATCACAATCATTCCTTCAAAATTGCCTCGATAATGATTTGTTTTCAAGAAATGACTACAAGTATTTTATACAATTAGCAGTTCTTTGGTTAAGTGACAAAATAAAAAATTTCCACTTTAGATTTCCGATGGCTTCGCATCATGTCAGTTTTATCAAGGGAGTTTATTATTTAACATTCTTCATTTAACACCTTCTTCACAATTCAGTAGCTTATATCCTAATATAATATCA